CTCCTGGGTTGGGTTCAAAATTACAAGGCTGCGGAGTTGAACATTAGAAGTCGTAGACCCTAAAATTGGGTCTGCTGTTCAACAGCGGTTATATATATATATATATATATATATATATATGAAGAAATTCCATCTAAAATGATTTTCAGTACTCCTTAATAGGAACCAACATATTTATTTAGGGATCCTTGGTTCATGCAATTTAAGTATTTTCTGTATATGCATGAGAAAAAGAGAAAGAAGCGACGTAAGAATTTGAATAATTTTAATATTTTAATTTAAAATATTTGAAACAGTTATCGATTTAAATTATAAAACAAAAAATCAAAGAAATAAGCATTAATTTCTCTAAATAAAATAATTTTCAAGGAACAACATTTAAAAAAAATCTCGTTAAACTGTTATTTGGGAACTTCTAACAACTCGGCGGTAGTGCTACTCTGAACTTTGCCACTCTTCCAATACGTTTTTCATGAAATTAGCAAAAGTAAAAGATTTTTAGAATTAGAATAGCAAAAGATTTTCATATAAGTCAAAAATTCATTTAAAATAGAACAACTCATGTAAATTTCAGAGGGAAAAATTAATTTTATATTTATTATGTTATTAATATAAATGATATTATACTTGTATTATAATGATATTTATATAAATGTAAAGGAGCTTACGTGAATGAGTGAGCAATGTTTCAGTCTGATAAACTAAAATATCAACTGTGTTATGAAATTTTTTTTATAAAGGTATTTTAAGTAATCATTGTTTACTGACAAAATATTTTCTGGTCAAAAATATTTTCTTTGAGTGGATTCCCACATTCCTTTAGACGAGTAGGCGTTTTATTCGGAAATTTAAGACTTATCGCTTATGTTGAAACGTTTATTGTTCGTGATCCTCACGAACAATAAACTGTTAATTAAATTTAGTCTCTAAGGTTATTTCATATGAATAACAATCGTTGAAATTTTTTTCAAGATATGATGGGATTTACAAAGTTTCTTTAAATAGATTACATTTGCTGGCTTCTTTTGAATTATTGTAACATTGATAAATCCTTTTTAGAAACGAAAACAAACATTTATTGATAGTATAAGCGTATTCATAACTTGATACATTCACGTGCATTTCGTATCGACGTTCTATTTGGGGATTATCTGATTTCTCAGCGTTCATATAAATTAAAGCTTGGTAGTATGTTACTACTGTAAAACTGGTGTCCAACAAAAAATGTTTCAGTCGTTCTAGTGTCCATACAATTGACATTAACTCTAACCTACTGGAATAATATTTATTAGTTTGATAAGTCTGATTAATCTGAATGACATTTAGTAGTTTTCTTAATCACACAGTAAACTAAGTGCCGTTTGTTACCATTTCCAGGCTGAAGTAACATACCAGCTGTACCATCTCTACATGCATCGGTGTGACATTCAGGATTATGGAGTCAAATTGGGTCCATTCGTTAACTTACGTTTAAAGGTTTCAAGCGTCTCTTCTTGATTCTTTCCCATTTAGAAATTTCATCGTCAGCTGCATTTAATATCCAGCTTTAATGGCATAGTTTGCGATAAGTCTTCTGAAAAAAATTGTTAAACCAAGAAATCTTGAACACGGTGTATATTTTTAATTTGAGGAAAGATATAGCTTCTACTTTTCTTAATCCAGGCTTAATTCATTTTTATTTATAATAAATCCTAGATACTGCACTTCTTTCTTTCCAAACTCCCAGTTTGGTAATTTAATAGTTAAATTCTGTTAGGGCGTTAGTTAAGCCAAAACTCATCCTCTCGAAATGTCCAGTTTCATCTGGGGATACAAAGGCTGTTTTTAGCTTTGCTTCCTCGGTTAAGACTATTTGTAGATAACCGTGCGCCAAGTCTAAAGTTGTAAAATCATCTAGTAATTTCTCCTATAAATCATCTATTTTAGGCAATTATCTCTTATAGTTTGTTAAGATACGTCTGTAGTCAACCACTAGTGTCGGACCTCACCAGCCTTCTTAATCCCTAGCATGGCAGATCTTGCATAGTCTAGGACACTATTCCATGTTCTTTCCATTCATCTTCAATTTCTTTAATAGCTGCTCTTTCATGGGCATTCGTTTTATATGGTCTCATACAAATAGGCTTTTCAACTTCTCTAATATCCATTTCTGTTAAGTTCCTAACTTTGAAATGTCCATAGCAAAACAATCTCTATATTCATTCAACAGTGTGCCAAGCAATTATCGCTTCTGTTCATTTCCAATATTAGAGTCAATTTTCATTTCGCTCAATTTAATGGGAGCTTTTCTTTAGAATTTATTACAGCTAAATGAACTTGAGATATTTCCCTTAACGATTGAGCACAATTCAACAATTTCAGCTCTTCCAACAAAATGACCTCTTAGAAGGCCGACATTTTTGTGCTTCAGGATCTCAGCGGACTTTGGGGTACACTTCCAGTGGATTCCATCACACGTTGGAATCAAAGGTAACGAGATGGCGGACTCACTGGATAAAGATGCTTCTTTGGGACCTTTACAGCCATATATGCCTTCCACGTTCAATGAGGTCCTTGCAGAGTGTAAAAAATGTTTATGGACTTTTGGAGGGTTCCTCCTCTGCATAGTTGGTATTTCAGAAAACGTCCTGGAGGTGCCTTGCTTTTTGAGGAACCTAGAAGATAGCAGACTTGTTTCTCTGGCTTTGCCAGTGGTCACTTGAGGTGTCTCTCGTTTGTGCAGGGGCGAAAGACTTTTGGAATTTGCACTAAATGTTGAACTGCGCAGGCTTCGCCCGAGCATATTCTTAACTGTATCGATTTTAAGATCGACGAGGTTTTTTCAAAACCTCATCTGTTTTTAGACTTTCTGGACATTTTTGGACTGGTGGATTTGGTTTAATTGGGATGGACCTCTTGGGGATTAGAAACAACAACAACAACATACTTGCCAAAGATATTTTTTCCATTTTTAACTTGCGTTAAGCAACTAATGTCTTCGGAAGAATTCTCCATCAAAATTAGCCCATTTTCGATATCCTCTGCCAGAGATCTCATAATATTTACTTTATTTTTCTTTAGTTCAGTTGCCTCAAGAACTTTAAGGCGATCTACTTTTTCTTCCATTAAGAAATTATTAAATGGTTATTCTTCCTGATCTGAAATCTTTTCCTAATTCTGGCGATGTATGGTAGATCAAGTCCTGTTTCTCCGATAATAAAATCAACTGGATGCGCATTATTAGGAACAAAATAAATGCTTGTGCACTATCGATTTCAATATCAGCTTCCAACAGTGGTCACTACAGGTACTTTTTGATTTTCAAAACGATATAGCTCGTTGACTTAAAGCTTCAGTTCAAGTTTCTGACATTTTAGAGGACAACAAGAACTGTGGGTATCAATTAAAGCCTATACTTCGTTACAATTATTATTCAAACATGAAGTACTCTCTCGGGCATTTTTGCCTTGTGTAACAGATCAACATTTATCACTTTAACAACTATCTTCAGTTTTAGAAAAACAATTCTTGGCTCTGTGACCTGTTTTACTGCATTTTCGGCATATTATAACTGGTTTTAGCGTCAAGCTGTCCTCTGAAATATGCCCACAATTGTTACAGTCGAAGCATTTCGGTTCACCTCTTTCATTACGTGTAAAACGGTAGCAGCTGTATCATCTTTAATGGAGTTTCGTTTGTCGAAAAGCCCTTTCTGTTCACATTTCTTTATTCTTAAAAATTGATATCAAAGTATCATAGTCTTCTAGTTTTTCTACTAAATCATCTGGATTAATAAACTTTCACCAATCATCAATAAAATGGTATTTTACTTCTTGGGATACTTTACGTTTCCACTCCGCTGTAATAGGATCACTCAACTTTTCAAAACTATCTACTTAAACTCCATTTATCCAACAAAAAAATTTTTTTAACTCGTAGGCAAAATTTTTCCATGGACTTTCTACTTTCCTATTATGCATGAAAAACTTTTGAAGAAATGTCTCGGGTGTTATACCACTTTAATAAAATCTGCTTAACTTCTTTATAATAGTTTGCAATTTCTTTTGGTTTTCTGGCGATTAACCTTTTCCTTACGGCGCTTAGCTTGATGAAGAAATTCTAGTCCACTTATTGTGCCGCCGTAAGCGAAAGGTTAACTGAGATACCTCGTAAGGAAGTAAGCCAAGCAAGTGAGTAACCCAAGAACTTTCGATTATATTTGCTTATTTATACTTGTTGGTTATTTTCGTCAGGGTAAAACTTTTGAATTAAATAATGAAGCTCTAATCTTGATTTTATTGGTGTACTATTAATATTTTGATTGTTTGAAAAATTGA